CTCATAAACTCATTTAGGCCAGACGTCTAGCCATTTCTATAGCTTTATTGGACCAAGGTTCTTCCTGCTTTAAAGTCATTATGCGTACAAGTTGGACAATAAATTGGAAATCCGCCGCAACACCTCTCCCAATCGTAAACACTTTATTACATGTTCCTCTACGTTTCAGATCAGCTGTTTTTAAAGTAAAATTCAACATACAGTTTCCTTTCTATGACCACATTTACATTTAAAATGCTTGTTCTGGCCTCAAATTATATTGTTAAATAAGAGAATTCAGCTGTAAAAGGAACATTATTGGATCAGTTTTGTGTTGCTTTGTATTTTTGTATGTTGTGGTTGCGGAGGCAGTTTTTCTGAAAGTAAGGCGTTGATTTTAAAGATAGCCTACTCATGACCAAAAAAAATGTCCACATATATAGCCTATCAGCAAAAAAAACGAAGGTTTAAAGCGTTTTGGGAAAACATTTAAATTTAAAGCTAAAACTGATACTCATGTTTTATGTGTAAACACATGCCTTCTTCCATTACACATTATAGTCCATCAAATCTGAGTGATGGGTCATTGACGTACCGACAGAGAGAAAAGTCAAAGATTTAGTTTTGAAAATGTTTTATATAGAATTCTTACCAAATATAAAAAGCAAAAGTCTACACACAGACACGTTTCCTACTATGCGTAATGTTTAAAAAAGAATGACAAACCGCTTGAACATCCCGGGGTGTGGTTCTGTAAAGTTAGAAAACAGATTCAGATGGTTTGTTGGCAGACTGTGTGTATTTAGTCAACAAGTAATGACTCTGACACGCAAAATTGTGGAGTGTCAAATAAAATAAAAAATGACTACCGTGGTTCCTACCAAAAAGAATGTAATTGTCCAGATGGCTTCAAACGCAGGAGAGATTTCACAAGTGATCCTTGCTGCCTCTCTCTCTGTTCATCTTCTTCATCTTCATCCTCCTGTTCTGGAACCAGATCTTCACTTGTCTCTCGGTTAAACTGAGAATGCGGGCCACTTCGTAGCGTCGGTCTCTGGTCAGATACATGTTGTAGAGGAACTCCTTCTCCAGCTCTAAAGTCTGATATTTGGTGTACGGGCAGCGCTTCTTTCTCGTGGAGCGCGCATGGATCCAGTTTGCTGCAGGGTTGTCTGGAGAAATAAGGCATAAAGTAAAGACACGTGATTTGAATGTTTTTAATTTTAAACTTCAATAGGTTCAAAAAATTAGGGGGGGGGGGTTGAATGGGGTACCTTTGATGACAATGATTTGGTTGAAGAAACCCACAAATGACTTTAATTTATAATAAAGATGTGTTTCCTTTTTGAAGGATAGAAAATAAAGGCAGTAAAGGTTAAATCGAATGTAAACAGAGTATTGTGTATCTATCTGAGGTGTCCTGTGACATTAAAAAGTTTAGGATCCCCCTGTAATAACCTTTCCAGGGCGGGTTTTTCCCGAGTCGCCACATAGTACGAGACACTTTTATAGGTTAGTAAAAGCTCCAGTTTTACGCACCCAGCTCATACAGTTCTTAGGGTTGTAAATCAGGATTCCGTTTACTTACTTGGGTCAAGTTGTTGTTGTTTCTCTTCTTTGGACTCGCTGTGGCTCGAAAGCTCACTTCCACTGTGCTCTTTGCTCGACTTTTCTGGACACTCCGATGCTCCTCCGTGCGTGAATTCGCCACTCTGCGGACGAGATTCTGCCTCCAAAGAGTCACACTCGGTCGATTTCGGTGGTAAGATGTTTGGTTTTGTCCCGTACGAGCGACTGCTGGAGTGAAATCCGGAAAAAGAAACGTGGTTGGAGATAGGGTCCATCCAGGAGCGGACGCCAACATATCTGCCGTCCGAGGCGGGGAGGTGGGACTGGTGGTGGTGGTGGTGCACATACGGATGATAAATCCCCTGTGGGTGAACCGAGGACCAAGAGGAGGAGAAAACGGCCGATTTTGGTGCAAAATTGCAGGAGGAGAAGTCTGCGTTGTCCCCGGCACCTGACGGCCTCGGGGTCACCATGTGTGGAGGCTGAAGAAAGCGGGCACCGTACACATCCTCCGGCTCCTGCTGCATTAACGCGTCCACATAACAGTTACTGAGAGTGCCACTGGAAGACATTTTTCATCTCTTCCTACTCTTATAATAAGGCTTGCACTGTTACGAGAAGCTTCCCTCTATGAACAATCATAGTATTTTTGCTTGGCCTGCATCTACAGGGATTGGTTACATGGATCACGTGGTCATATTTACCAATACAGCGAGTAAATCAATCCTGCCCCATGCGCTCTGCTTTTTTTCATCAGGTTTAATTTAGCTTTTCATTCCACAAATAATAAAAAGCCTTATCAGATGTGACTGCAGGGAGAAAAACCAGCGCTAAAATGAATACAAATTATATTTTTTTTGTTTCTCACGTGCGTAAAGCCTACAGGGCGTTGCAACAATACTAGCAGCACAAAAAAGGACAATTTCCCCCTAACACAAACACGGACACCCTGCATCCTTGTGTTTGAGAAAAACCTCTTCTAATATCGTCCCGATGCCCCCATTGCTTGTAAAATGGTTTATAGACTTAACAGAGTCCTCGTAAAATAAATGTAATAACATGTTGTAAAGGAACAGAAGTCATTTCCGTTCATAACGCGGCGAATCTATTGTTAATATTCGGCGAGGAAACATATTTTCTGGGTTGGGTTTAATTTTTAAAAGCTACGCCGGAAACGGTAGTTGTGAAATGATTGTGTTCACTCAAAGGAGAGCAATAATGTCTTTATGTATCAATAAATGTTTTATGAGGTGCGTGTGATTATATATACACGCCGTCAATAAAAGAAAAGGCTAGGAGAAGGAAATGCCATCTGTGTACTGCTGTCTGAAATGTATCATTTAAATGTGATTCACAGTTTTTTTAAAGAGACTTTTTCTTCACTTTTTACCTGTTTTGAAGCAAAGCTGTTGACCTTAATTTTCAGAAAAAGGGGGCATATTTTTCAAGGTAAATAGTCAGGATTTAGGACAAATCTGCAGAGTGGGTCAGGCAGACAGTTGTCATTTTTTTTTACCACAGATTATTATGATGGAAGAAGTTTTTCTGAGCAAGGAAAATAAATGCAACGTGGCCATTGAGGCCCGCGTCGCTCGGGAAGGAAGGTAGAACTGCATGTGAATTTGTGCTTGAACATAACTTAACCCGTCTGTTAGTCCTTCATACACCATTAGTTTAGTCACGTAAGGGCCTGAAAACAAACAGCAAATGCATGTTGATTTGATTACAAGCGTCTCCGTCTCTTCAATTCTCTTCGAACACACACAAACACGATGGATAAACTCCAAAACAGGCTGGGGCTGCTGCGTTATCTTATTTGTTGGCACTTCATTTAAGTATTTTTTTGTATCAATCTGTATATTAAGACTTCAGGGAGATTTGGAACATTTTTAATGCATCTGGTGAATTCAATTTTATCTTAAATGTAAAAGCCTCATGTGTAAATCTTCAAACAAAATACTTCAAATATTTACGCGTTTAGGCTCCTCGTCAGAAAAATATTGTAAAAATGTGTTAGAACGCGAGAGATGTTTGACATTTTATTTTGGAACGGCACTTCTTTCCTCGCAGTGAAAAGTAATGTTCACAAATACCTTCTCCTCCTCCAGTCAGAGTTATAATCAGATTAAAGCCTGCGTCAGAGAAAATAGCCCCGCAGACTTGGGCATTCAAAAAGTAAATGTAGGAATGAAAATAATTGTAGACTTTGAGTTCAAACAAATATAAACCAATAGTATTTGACAATTTATTGCAAGATACATGCCACACACATGCAATACTTTCACAGATTAACATTGTTTTGAACATGTCACTAGAGAGCAAACGGCTTCTACACTGTAAAACAAAGGTTGAACTACACGACAATACATGTGCTTTTATGACGACACAACAGAATATTCATACTGGCAAAGGAGACCCATCTGCGTATCCAATAATTTAAGACCAAAAAGTGAAACCCTGTGGTAAAAATAAAACACAAATACACGACGTCACAATAAAAAAATCTCATATATATATATATATATATATATATATATATATATATATATATATATATATATATATAGTCACAGTTTCCTTGAAATTGAGGATAAACGTTCAATGCTACTTAAGCATCAAACTGATTATTGAACAGAAAGACAGCTAACCACAGCTTCATGCGAGCTCACGAGAAGGTGAGGTTTGAGGTGAGTTCCCGGATGCGGTTTTCTCTGCTCATCTTCTTCAGCTTCATCCTGCGGTTCTGAAACCAGATCTTGACCTGCCTGTCGGTCAGGTTGACGCCCCGGCTGATCTCTAGGCGGCGCTCTCGGGTCAGATACATGTTGAACAGAAACTCCTTCTCCAACTCCAAGGTCTGGTGCTTTGTGTAGGGACACCTTTTCTTCCTGCCACTCTTTGCTGTGAGCCAGTTACTGGTTGGTGTGTCACTCTTACAATCTGCAAGGATTCAAATCAGAAACATGATCAGCGTTACATTTTGTTTTATTTAAAAGGTGATCTCACGAGCTGCTTTTGGATTTGACCTCTGGGAAATAAGACACAATCTAAAAGTTTTCCCAAATTATATTACATGAAGGGGATGTCATTAGTCATGTATAAACTAACATTAACCCCGAGCTGATCAAAGCGTAGTCCAAAACACATCTTTACGCTTGAAACATGTGAAAGAATTCCAGTTATTTTATAGAATACATTAACATGTAACATGTTATTTAAATGCTAAATCTTTCAATTATAAATTTAATTTTAGATTCAGTGATTTGGCAACTTTCTAGTTAAAATGTAGCCTATCCTTCAAATCCAGCATCACACAGCTGCAAATTGGCTAACCAGATCCTGAGTGATTATATTCTGATTTAACATTAAATGTGGCATTAATACAACTTTATGTTAGATTCTTATATTTTAAACATGTGCTATATACCCAAATATTAAGCAAATGCTTTAAAAAAAATTAAGCATTTTAATTGGATTAAAATAGAGGTAAACACTGTGCTCATGTTGCATGGTAAATCCATTCTCTGCAGCCTATTCCTGCAACCTGAGAAAGCCTCTCATTAAACATTACGACTGTAGGGTTGTTTGTGTTTTATTCTTGCTTTTATGATGCTGGAGCCTTCATTGCAGCAGCGCCACAAGATAAAAGCTTTTCATTGTGTAGCCAAACCCACCTTTCCCTTCCTGCTGCAGCAGCTCGGGGCTGGACACAGACGCGTCCATGGAGCAGATCTTCTCCCCGGAGCTGGACTTCGAAGGATCCGGGCTTTCTGCTGGGACAGGCGTCATTGAGGTCTCCGACTTCTGCGGAATTTCTTCACTTTTCTTTTCAACTTCTGCAAAATTAGAAGACCCAGAGGAGGAGGAGGAAGAGGGGGGCTGTGGTTTCGGGGTGACCCGGCTGAGCTGCATGAGTGTTGGGTTTGGACTCGGCGGCGCATGGTGGTAGTTTTCCTGGTGCTTCCCGTTCGCATAAGTTTGACTCAGTCTGAAATAGCCCGGAACCGGGATCTCTGGACCATCTGACTCAGGAATAACATTAGAGTAAACCTCTGAAGAGCTGACTTTTTGTACTCTCTTATCAGAATACATGCAGCAATTGCTCTCCTCTTTTATGCTCTGAGAAAATGTACAGTTTGACATCTGACTGGAACCCTCTATCCTGCACGGTCTGCTCGGATCGGTCCAGTTATCTATCTGAGGTATGTACTGGTGGACATTCATGCCCACGTTTTGGTGGTTGACCTCTCCTCTTTTGCCGAAAGACGGCAGGAGTCCACAGGTTTGCATTCCGTAAGTTCCCATGTCTGCTGTGGACGGCATGTACATGTTGCTGCTGCCGGAGTAGAAGCTGTCCGTCCTGCACGCGCCAATCAAAGAGTCCACGAGAAACGTATTGGCTGCAGGTGAGCTGCTGGGGAAGGACATTTTGGGGGGTTAAGTTCTTTAGAGGAGAGAGATGTCCTTTGGAAGCTGACATATCTAGGAAAAACAATCTCCAGTGGAAGTCAGGATGCCTCCCGACCACATGACAAGCCCACCAATGAGATTTGAAAATGGCCTTGAGAAGCAGCCTCCTCTCCCCTGCACGCGCTCACACTGCGGAGGCAGACGTGGTCAACAGCGACACCTACGACACGGACTTGAAATTGGTTTATAAACTCATGCAGACAGTCGAGTCTGAGGTTGATCAACTAATCTGAAAATATCACGTTTGGAGGATCAGATTGTCAATTAATCACATTGCAACGTCTTCTGAGAGAACACGCGCTCGTTTAAATAATCTATTAATGTGTAAAATGCTGGAAATGACTACTTTTCTTTGTCTTGAAGACAGACTGAATACGGGAGTGATTATGTGTGTGTTCGTAAAATGCTGCCTAAATGACGCATTGGCGACAACTGCCCTTTTAATTTGAAAGGATGCATTACAAAGGATTTCTATTGAATGTAATGTTTTTATTGATAAGAAATGATTCACTCCAAGTCCACCGATGACGGTTACATGAACTGTTGTTTCAACTATATTTTGAGGTTAATAAAAGGGGGGGGGGCATAAATATTATCGAAAATTAACATATTGTTCTCTTTTAAAAATCAATAAATTCAGTTTTAAGGGTATCATTTTTTTGATTAGTATTTTCTCTTTTGAATTTATGTTATTCAACAGCAACAAACCAACTTAAAAAAAGAGTGTCCGGATTGTTTGTCCTGTGAGATATCTTCATTTGAATTAGAACTGTATTCAGCTAAAAGCAGTTATTTACTGATGTAAATGAAGAAACTACCAGAAGCTGTATGGAGGTCAAAATCTGTTCCTAAAGGCTTTGCTTTTCAAATAAAGTGCACGTAACAGTTATAGAAAATGGTCCTTTATTTTTTCAGATATTAAGCACAACATCTTTATTTCCATTTCAACACAGGTAACTTCAATGTTCAATGAACAGTTCCAAATAAAAACCTGTATTTGTTTTCTACATCGTGTGAAGATTATTTTGCTCGGGGCTCCATTGTTTTTGTCTGCAAGGAGGGCGAAGGTGTGAAAGATATTAGTGTGCCTGTGAGACTCAAAATAAAAACACTGTTGGAAAAAAAAAATGCTATCAATGGGCAAAAAAATTAGGAGTCAGAGCACAATACATGCAAAAAGCAAATAATTCAATCTTTGGTATTAATGCGACAAGCTCAGAATAATGAAACACATTGGAGAGGGTGTGACTTGAAGACTCTTATATTATTTTTGATATTTACAGTTGGTTGTAAATAAGAGTTTGTAGCATGCAAATCACCACAATATAACGGAAATCACAGAGAACAAAATACTGTCAGAATAACCCAAAAACAACGGAATAGACTGCGAAATAAATTATTCATTACAACAAAGAAAAATAACATTTTTGAAAGAAATCTTTAAAGGACAGACTCTTTGTAAAGAATTATTTAAGTGTTTAGCTTTTTTTGTAACGCATTGAACAAAACACAAAACTATGTGGAGATGTAGCTATCAGATTAAATCAACCATTTCTATAAACAAAATATATTTATTTATGTTAGTACCATAATAATAATAATATTAATAATTTTCCCAGAGAATTTAAAATATGAAATACAAGAGAGGACTTTGTTGGAAAAAGCAGCGACATTGTTGTAGTTTAAGACGAAACCCAAAGGTTAAACCTGCATTGAATAGGCTAACTGAATTGTGGAACTACAATTATTTAATTAACAAATAGACATAAGCAAATATAGACTAGTTCAGTATTTACTATTATCCATCCACTAAATTAAATGAAAGGGAAAACGCATATTTGTATCACAATGTCGTAAAATGTTGCGTCTGCACAACAGATTTGAGTGTGCGGCCTTCAGGTAAATATCAATGTCTGTACTCTGAAGGTTCAGGAAGAGGAGAATTGCGTTCCTTCTGACTCGTCATTTAATAACACTTGAACATATGAATATAATGCAGTCTGAGGTGTAGTATTTGCATCAATTAAATTGGACACCGACTTAGAAAAAAATGGTATGCAATATGTGGTTACAATAGTTTGTTCCACAGAGAATATGCACGCAGCACTATTGAATGGTTTCATCATTAAAAAAAATAGATTTGGACATTTCTAGAGTTTAAATTCTATTGAACACAAATCATACTGGGCGCAATTAAAACTGAATTATTAATTAAAATAAATCAGATTCTGAAGGGATTATTCTTCAACACATTCTCCCCATGCAGGCAGGGTAAGGAATGTTCAATTTTGCTCAACTCTGCATTCCCAGTAACATTGAAAGTAGCAAGTGTGCCCTCATGTGGATACAGAGAGTATGAGAGAAAACACTCCACACAGTGGGTAATGTCCTCTCACTGCAGGACATGATGACAACCCAATTAAACGCTTAATGAAACCCCAGTTATTACACTGCCTTCGTGGGAAATAACTGTAGATGTGATACATTTGAAATTAAGTAAACATTAACCCCGCTTTGAACTTTTGTTTTTTTCAAAGAGGAAGCTGAAACGAGAAGTGTAATTATTGCAGACTTAAAGCACAAAACATAATCACATGATTGACCAATCAAGCGACTGTTTGTGAGGAATCAATGCATTTATTTACCCTGCCCCTATCATGGGGACAGAAATAGCACAGAGATAAAGACTGCTGAGATAAAGCCTGATTAGTAATAGCCTAGGGTTTGTGGAGCAGCACAAAGACGGAAACGTTCAATCTGCATCAATTAAAGATGGAAACTTGCTTTTATTTTGGTAACAATTTAACACCTCTTATATGCAGATTTACAAAAGCTACATATATTCTACTAAGAATACAAGAAAGCAGATTAAGATTACACAAATTACCCATTCCTTTATATTGCGGCCCTTGTTAGAATATCCTCCATTGTTTCCGAAGCTAAAACTGCGTACGTAGTGCTGCAAAAAAAGCCTAAAAAAGAGCTGAATAAAAACTGGATGCGCTGAAAAATCCACAAAATCCTCCAAACATTTGTAGCCTGGAGGCAAACTACTTGAAGACAGGAAGGAGAATCGGTCTTCTTGTGGTCTGGGGGTTGGGACACCATAGTCCAATAGCCCCCTATTTAGACATTTACAGCTAGCTTTATTGTACTGTCTAGACAGTTCAAGGTTTAGTAAACAGCCCATTGAAAGCAGGAGAAATAAGGGGAACATAGAGGCCTGCAAGCGCCAAATTCCTCCTTTCATAAATCTTTGAGAGGAAAAAAAAAATCCCCCTTTTTCTCGTGTTATTTCTGCAGGACTTGGTTAAGTTCATGTGACAAGTTTCGTGACTATGATAAAACATTTGTCGTGTCTATTTTTTTTTTCCACAGCACATCGTGCATTCGCTATACATGCGTCTTTAAAATCGACATTATTACACAAGGAAGAAGCCTACATATATATTTCATATAATCATTTCAAAGCACGGCTCGCGCTTTGCTGGAGTATTTTGCTAATAGAGCAAAAATAAGTGACCTTAAATAAATTAATGTAGGATTATTTTTGTCCAAGTGTTGATTTCCAAATGTCAGATTTTTTTAGGGGGGAAAACAGTTCAAACATGATGCTCAGGGTTCAAAAATACACAGGGGACCAGTCTCTGAAACAATATGTGTGTGTATAGGTACTATTTTCAATCGTGTGTGTGTGTGTGTGTGTGTGTGTGTGTGTGTGTGTGTGTGTGTGTGTGTGCGTGCGTGCGTGAGTGCGTGCGTGCGTGTGTGTGTGTGTGTGTGTGTGTGTGTGTGTGCCAGGTATCAGAATAAAGGATTCCCTGTGAAATACTGTAGACGGTCGCGGTTCAGCTTTTTCTCTTTCATCCTTCTGTTCTGAAACCAAATCTTCACCTGCCGATCAGACAGGTTTAACATCCGGGACAGCTGCAGACGTTTCTCTTTGTTAATGTAAACGTTGAAGAAAAACTCTCGTTCAAGTTCTCGGATCTGGAATTTGGTGTAAGGACACCTCTTCTTCCTGGACTTGGTGGATGAACCTGCACAGGGACATGAAAAATGGAAAAATGTTGTCTTAAAGTAGGAAACCAAGTGGTAAATGTTTGATTCTAGTGCTTTTTAAAGAATTAGAAGGTACATTTAGTCATGTATGTTTGTGCACACAGGCCCTCTCTCACACAGACAGGCCTACACGCATTCACACGCATTAAAGGGGAAAACAAGACAACAATTCACATTAAAATGATGATGTGCAATGATTTTATGCAAATAAATATACATTTAGGCAGACTATCTCTTTATATCCTGCATTTTCTTTACAATTTTTATTACATTTGCGAAACATTTATTATTATCCGATAAAATCCACTTTAATCAAACGTTTTCTAACTTTCTAATCATCTCTATCATTACAAATCAATTCCAACAACACTGTACTGTTATTGGACTCCAGGCAATCTTTAAACCATAACAGTTTCCCATTGTAAATACCTTTACAAGCGTAAAGCAGATCTTATAGGGATATAAAAGCTTTTGCATGCTTATAAAGAGTCACATAACCCTTCACGGCCATGCTGCTGGACAGAGTGTAAAGGAGACACTCTATTGTCTGTGTTGCACACCTTCTAACAAAGACAAAGAAGAAAACACTTACTCTGTTGGTTGTTTTTGTCCCCGCAGTTGGAGGATGAGCAGTCCTCGTCCACGCTCGCGCTCGGGTCCGCGTTGTTTTGCTCCAGTTTGGTCTCAGTCTGATTGTTATTTGTAGCAGAATCTGTCTTTTCTTTGGGTGGCTCCGCGCCGGGCTTTTCCGAGTTAGGAGTGTCCAAAAACTGGTCGAAGACCTGAGGAAGAACCCCGTTCCGACCGACCCCCGTGAAGAAGCTGCACGGCGAGCTCGCGCCTCCGTGGTGGCCGTACAAGGACTCGTTTTTGAAAATCACATCCGCCCTGCTGCTGCTGCTGCTGCTGGAAGACTGGATCAAGTCCCGGTGCATTATCTCGTCCGCTGAGTAGTAAGACGCGTAATTGCCCCTGTAGTGCCATTTGCTAGGATGGTCCAGTCCATAATCCCTGAACGCGACCTCTCGGACAGGTTGGACCTGCGCGATGTTGGGAGAATAGGGGAAATTTATTTGACACGAAGTGGTCTGTGGTAAAAAGGAGGAGACTGATGTAAAATCAGGCGTCGAAACGTAATAAGTACAGCTCGGTAGATACATATTTGACGCACAGCTGCGATCCTCGTACTCCGTCATATCTTTTCTCCCCCTTTTCCCTCAGTGCAACAGAGGAGAAAAAGATTTGGCAGCTCAACTGTGTTAAACTTTGTCCATCTATAGCACCACAGGCGCGTGCAGAGACCCCGCCAGGGAGAAAAAATCGGAACCGTGGGCAGACCTGCAATACATCTTGATCGATTCTTGAGGTAATTGTGTCATGTGATCCAGCCAAGAAAATTACCATACATCAATATCAGTCATTAAAAGCTGTCCGGAGAAACTCATGTGAGCGCATTGGAGAGACTTCATTGGCTCCCTGGCTGCAGAGGAAACTCCTCTCCTGCCTCTCTGCTCTGTAGCTCACGGAAATAAGAGTCATTTGTGAACTAGAGCTGGGATATTTAATTGAAAGCTTTACAGCAACATCATCCTCGTCGTGTAATGGCACGTAATGACACATTAGTCAATACATGTGCGCGCATTGGAGCAACAACCGTCAGTTTTTTAGCAACAGTTAGGTTGGAAGCACAGTTGACCTCCGCATTTTATGCAAATCTCAAGAAGATTGCACGAAGGCCACGGTGCGCGCACGCATATTTTCTGCACAGTTAAACCAGAAACCTGCAGAATTATATGTGATTCACAGGCGGCTCCTTAAGTCAGATTTGATGGAAATAAATGTTAGGGTTCATTGCGCATATAGTAATCGCTGCGCACAGCGATGATTGGAAGACGTTTAAACACACACAAACAAACAGTGGGGAAATAGTTTAACTCATTAACACTTACAAACCTCTTGATGTACAGCATGGTGCAAATACATCTCAGGCGCCACAAAATAAATAATAACAGGAAGTCCAAATACTACTGTGCCAAAATTACGCACACATTTTATAGCATATGCGTAACAACAGCAGTATAGTCAGACATTTAAATGTGCTAAAGAATGTTGAAAACATTATCTGCAGCATTTTCCTTGCCCCACCTTAATTGTAAATGCAGATGAACGTGTGTGAAAACAGCCATATAAAACACCTCACGGTGTGCTAGTGCAAATACAGAATGGTTGATTTTGGATGCGACAAAGACAGAAGGAAAGCATGAATCACTAGAAGCACATTCAGCATGGCCAAGTCCAAAACTACTGGCTTTGACCGTCTGTGCTGGCGGTTATGTCCACCAAGCATTCACCACCCGCTGCACCCAAATCAGTTTGTGGCACGCGGGCAGCCATTTCTGCAGTGTTTAGGCCCCCGTTTTTCTACGTCCGGGATGGAGATAAAACACTGGTAAGCGGATACCAACGTGTCTACAAGCCTCTCTTAGTATCCTTGTAAGCCTTTGTGATTATTATCCTTATTATTATAATATTATATTATTTATGCATTTGGTGTAAAATAGAAGAAATCAGAATATAAGTTAAAAATAAACAGGTACGTCATCGTTTTTTCAGGCCTATTCCGTATTGGACACTCAACAGTTGTATTTGGAAGGTTTTGCTCCTCCAGTAGAAGTGTAGCTCTTTTTTTGAAGGCCACTATTTTATTTAGAGGACAAGTAGATTCTTCACTGCTTGGAGCTTGAAGGTCACACGCAATGTGGAAGCAGCTCCATGGCGGCTGTTGGAGTTTATTGTTATTGGGGGTAAAATCAGCTCTGTGCCTCTCTGTATTCTGCCTGAACCACATTTCAGTTTGAAACCCTGCAGGCGGTTAACAACACGAAAAAACAAAGTTTGGATTAATTCACCAGAAATAGGGGGAAATTTGGAGACATTTGAGAACACGCGACCACCTCTGACGCATGGCGTAAAGATCGCATAGAGGCCTATATCAGCTATTGTCGAAAATCCATAGTTAAATGTTAAAGAATAATGGCGTGTGAAATAAAATACTGCAGTTCTTGTTACAGATAAAGTTCAGCAGACCTGTTGCTTTTTTGTCAGTCTGAGTCACTGTTTTTCGTTGTAACATCTATTTTCTCATTTTGACTGTTATTATTTTAACCTAATGACATTTTGAGTTCAATGTTGTTGGTATTTTTGTAGTTTTATTACATTTACTTTATTTTATTATACGATCCGCTTTGCACCTTCAGAGTGACATATTGCTGATAATACAAATTTGAACATTTAGTTACATTTAAATGTACGCTTATCAAAAAAAAATATCGATTTTCATAACAGGGTTTCACATCTCATATTTCACTGCCATTACATACCAATTTGGATTTAAGTAAATGTATTACCGAAAGTGTTTTGTCGTGCGTATTCTGTAAGTCTGAACAAATCATCTCCACAACTAAATAGAAGAAATTACCTGATAAATAAAACACATTGTATTTAAACTGTTACGGGAAGTTAATCCCCATATCTTCAAAAAGAAGTAGCTTTGTTTAAATATTTTGTGAAGTAGCAATGCACAGCCTACTAACTTGACCTTAACTTTGTGATGGCGCCCCTGCAATTTTAAGCTATATGACGCTGTCTGGCTGTGTTTGGCAGTAAAGCAATAAAACAACAAAAAGTGAAGGAAACGTTGCCTATCGGCCGCATAGAAGACTCAGAGTAGCCGGTCAAAAAAGCCCGAGCAATAAAAGCTAATAGTAGGTGAAACATGTTGTGTGGGAGGGACTTTAAGCCGAGGAAAGACAGACAGTTTAAACACAACAGGCCTGCAGCAAATGAGTGTATGAATGTAGTCTGTGTGCAAAATAGAACACTGGACATGTAGTCAGGTTACGCCAATAAATTAAACATTTGGTTCCAAGATATCTAAAAAAAAAAAAAAAAAAAAAAAAGTAGGAAAATATCAAATGCATATCAGCCACTAATGGAAAAGCCATGTCTTCACATTTCATTACAAATTATAGGTTTGAAAGATGGCCGCAGTGTTGTGTCCTGCAGAGAAATATAGTTGCAGTGCTGATGACGTGTTGATGATGTAATCGGATGGTGCATCAATAGATTCACACTCGTGTCGAGTCTCGTGCGTATAATGCTTGCTTGTTGCAGCCAGGGCCTTTTGAACCACACTGACAACTTGTGACCTTGTAGTGTTAAACTTTGTAAATCCACAACTGCAGGGTCCAAGGAAATACAGAAAATTATCCTATTTGAACTGCCCATAGAGAACACACTTTGGCGAAAAACAGCTCCTAATACGCACACATGAAGCTGTTTGGGCGTCTACGAGCATCTTGCCATCACCGAGAAATTAAACTATGCATATATGGCTTCAAATCCGTTTGTTCACAGCCGCAGTAACCTCACGCTGACATGGAGGTTTTGGCCTGTTGGTGTGAAATGCTGCTGCTGGGTTTTACATTTACTCTGAGAAGGAATTGCGCGTTTGACTAGACAAGATACAAAGTAGAAATAGAGAATGAACACTAATTCAGGTTAAAAAAAACTGACGTTAAAAAGCCAGTGAAATAATCATTTTAAAGTAAACTTTAAGGTGGATGTTTGTGACGGGGTATGTCTCAAGCAGCATGCAGGACGGATGTAAAGATGGCTGTGATGTATTTTAAAATTTCTCTCCTTGAAGCAAAGATTTAAGCTGATTTCAAACTAGAAAACCTTCAATCGAGAAAAGTGGTACAGCTGTCTGTATTCATCCTGAGATCTCATGGTTGATCACAAGTCATAATTATTCAGATTCATTTAGCTATAGGCATCAACAGCCTGCACACACATTTCTCTTTGCGCTGCAGGCAGCCAACAAAACATGCAGGTCTCCTCTACATTTGTATAAATTCTGTAAATTATAGTTAAATGTTTCTAAATAACCAAAAAATACATTTAACATGTTTGACGTTATGCAATAAGACACAAACTGTTAGCAGGTGACTAAACGAACAAGAATAGAGCAATGATATAAACCTGGAGCACACTGGATAAAATAGCCATTCAGTATAATATAATCCATGGATAACATGATTCAAAATATTCTTAATAAATGACTCCTCGTTTATTTTTAAAGTGTTTTATTTTCATTTAGATATCTGCAGTCTGCGTTAATTTTGCAAAATCTCATGTCCGTGCGTAAAATGATGCTGCTGGTCTGTTACGTAGACTATTCTCACGTTCATATATTACATGCTTTTTTGGAATGATTCATAAATGACTTAAACTTCAAGCAAAATATTACTTTATTTATAATGTAGGGACATGGTCGACTGGGCAAGAGTAACTTATATTAATGCAACCATGGGGTTGTGCGTAAACTCAGGTCTGTATGGCACCAAGGATTCAACATTATTTAAAACTTCTAATTGAATCTGAAGATTACAATAAGAATGTTCAAAACCCACCACTTTACATGTCTAACAGGCATTACGTTAAATATCAGTACGTCACTAAACTTGTCACTTTCCGCCGCAGTCCCACTTCAAACATGGACGCGGCCCAAAAAAAATCTACAATTATCTTTAATCAGATTCACAATTAATGTAGGGAAATATGGGAATTTAATTAAAAACATTAATTAGAAATAGGCATGCAATCATATAGCTTTCAATTCGGACTTTTTCCATGTTTCATGTATCCGTAAACATGAACTTGACGGTTTGCTTCTACATCAGGCCTATACTACATGCGCAGGCCATCATACAAAGTCCATTACATCATACAGAACCACAATCCTGTTATTATAGGGCGATATTTGAGGTTGATAAGAGCAGTGATGCTAAAATATAAAATTGTTTTACGTAGCTATAGGAGCCGAATTGGAGCAGGTCTTAAAGCGGCAGTGCGCATTTGGAGACTCTCAAAAGCCATTATTATCATACATGGCTGTCATTTTTTTTTACAAGCATCAATATCATTGAACTTGGGATAAAACTGTAAATCTGTAATGCGACAGGAATAGAAACATTCTATACACATCTATAAATACAAGTCCATCCCATAAACAGGAGTGGTGTGTGTTGTGCTGCATCGTTCATAGTAAACAGCATATTTCTTTGGTCATGATCAAGTCCAAAGGTCAGTAGGCAGAGAAAACGTGCTCGCGCATCATCAGTCGTTTCTTCTTCATCCTCCGATTCTGAAACCAGATTTTCACCTGTTGGTCGCTCAGGTCAAGTCTCTCCGACAGATCCTTGCGTTTCTGTCTGTTAATGAATTCATTCATCAGAAACTCATTTTCAAGTTCAGCCAGCTGAAGTTTCGTGTAGGGCTTCCTCTTCTTTCTGGTTTTCACTTGAGATGAGCACCATGGGGCACCTGGAGGGACAACCTAGGTTTACACTTCACATTAACACCAACTGCAACAGCACTTAACTAAACTGGAGCAAATTAAAAGCTCTTTACTTTCTCATATCTTTGAAAATGGATTAATTCAACAACTACAGTATGTAGAGGAAAATATGGCTCATATAAGAAACTTTAGACACTGAGCATCAAGCCTATAAGGACATTGTAGGAGTATTAAAATAACAAGCATGCCACTTGAGATATAAACTGGCCATAAAGTAGTCCCAGGCAGACCTGTGTGGACTCCTGTAAGCTATAAAATCTCCATATAACCCAATCCTTGTATCCTTTTATAATGATGTGGCAGCCAAAGAGAATCTGAATAAAATAAGACAACGAAAGGAAAGGGTCCAATTCTAATCCATGTTTTGTCATAATGGATCTAATAAAAGGAGGAATACTGTTCGCTGGAGCAACAAAATAAGGCCGTTAAACAGGCTACATCACCTTCTGCAAATGTCGTCCTGGTGCACGTGTGACTGGCTGATGGCTGAGCGTGATTCTGCTCCTGTTTGGGGCCGTTTAGTGAACCTGCAGAATCCGGATCAAGCTGAGTCCGGCTGTTGAGGTCCGAGTACCCGCGCTCTGTGACGGCCCCGTGCTCTCCTGCGTAAACTTCAGCCAGCCTTCCTGCCTCCCCCGTCTTCTGGATTGCGCTCTGAAAGCATCGAGCCGACTCCTCCAAATGCGCCTTGACATGGCCACTGCTGGAGTTTGTATTTATAGACACAGAGTTGGATAAAAACGGCGGACAGTATCCCCCAAAGGCGCGGTTCTGTGCTGGTGTCGGTGGCGGTGGTACTGCAGATCCAGCTCCACACGAACTTGGGGAAGTCCACGGCAGCGTGCACACCTCTCTCCTATTGTAAGGAATCTGATGCAGGCCGGGTAAGTGGGCTCCATTACCCCGCAGGTTGGAGAAATAGAGCGACTCAGGAGGAGCGAAATTCAACAAAGAACCAACATAGCCCGGATTTAAAGGATTCCGCTCGCACATTTCCATTGAGCTTCCCACAAACGCGTCCTGCAAAGCCTCTTAGCAACTCCTGAAGAATAACGGGTTAGTAATTGTTGATTTGTTAATACAGCGTCACGTGATATGCTAAATATGTTGTTCCGCCCCACCCTTGCTGCCAATACTGCACAGCAAAATACTCCAGGAGGAAATATTTTGGTACTGGGTGGGTGGGGGGTAGTTTAAGTCTGAACATCCGTTTAGTGAGGGATACTGAAGAATATTTGGATTATTTCATATATATTGGTAGGGTCTTTTATTTTGAAAGTTCAATGTTTATCTTTTGGGGTATTGTGCTGACATGAACAGCCAGGTGATTCTACTTTTAAGACTATGTGGTCTGTAAAACAAAGATGGGGACTGACATTCACCATAGGAGAGCCTAGACGATACATGCTGCATTCAAAGACACAAGGAAAGACGTATACTGATAAATATAATTGATAAGATAGGAAAATATAATTATGGATTAAAAAAATATATATATAATATATAGAGAATGGATGTGATATACACCTTATCAAACTTTTCTTCTTTCATTTCGTATCTCGAGCATTTCATTGTTTGGCAGGAATGTGTTGAAAACCCTTGCTTGTGTTTACCACCTGCCGGTTTCTATGGAGTTCTGATTTTATCACATTTGTGTATCTAAATAAACTTCGACTCCTAGTGCAGTTGAGGTTTACAGTGTGTTCCTAAAAATGAATTGTATTATTTTCTAGGGTGAAGAAACTGTGCATTACAACAGTTAGGATTCTGCATGGCATCCCTGCGGTATAGTCGTGCAGCCCAAAGGTGGAACATATTTTACATGAGTTAAAGTGTTGATGTCATACCTGTGAGAATACTCTACAATTACAAGTCATGCGTTCAAAATCTTACTCAAGTCAAAGTAAATATCAGCAAATTTGACTGTTGCTACTTTTTGCTCAAGAAATGCCTCCTTTGGTATTTTAGAAGAAGTTGTTTAGTGAATAATATGACTGAACTGATGTGGACGTAGCATTTTACTGTGCTGATGTTCTGATTTTAAATAGGCCCTAACTTTACGTACTGTGTGGTTCCATGTTTATTTTTATCATATGGTTGTAGCCTAACCTTCATATGAGAAGCAAGTATCTCTTTAAAAAATATCTACTTTTCTACTTGTCTATTTTACTGTAGCCTATATTTTTTAGTTATTCAAGTTTTGTTTTTATATTCTATTTGGAGAACTCCCAACATTCTTGGTCTTCAGTCTATAATAAAAAAAACTTGATCTTCAATTTGTAGATACATTGGTGTGTTTTTTTTTTTTTTTTTGGCTGGTTCAGCTGTTGGGGAAAATGTTGTATAAAATATCTGCCTGAGATGAAGCCCGTAGTGGAGTGAGCTAAAGGCTAATATTGTCACTGAACAAAATACAAAAACCTAAAGTACAAACACCTTACTTTCTATCAACCTCTTCCAAATAAACTTTAAGATCTGTGGAATGATTTAAGTCCCACCTCTAAACATACTTTGACATGCTGGCTTTTGAGTCATAATTAGGTTGCTTGTATTTCTATCAAATGTAATATTGTCACCCTTTGTATTGTTCAATTATTTTCTTTATCGTTCATTTGATTGTTAGTATTTTGTGTGGGCATGTGTGTATGTGTGTGTGTGTGTGTGTGTGTGTGTGTGTGTGTGTGTGTGTGTGAGTTTTCGGTGAGGTTGTTTTAATATTGTATTGCTCTTTGGTGCACTTCGGTCGGCTGTTGCTGTTTTTAAATGTGCTTTACAGCATGAATACATTTGATTGATTGATTTGATTGAATACACTTAACTCTAGAAAATATTTCACTTTTTTTAACCTTCATGTTTTGAATTATAAATGCGTTCAGCGGAGGTGTTTCATTTACTGTCAGTTTGTTCTGTGTTGTCCTAAAACAATGTAGCACTGTACACTCTCCTGCCATGGGGACTGAGCTGAGTCCAGATCTATAACTGAGTTTATATTATAATTCATTTCACCTTTAACGTTCAGAATACTTTCATTAGTATGTATGTAAATCTAGGATACATTTAATCACAAGCTTACTACTTCTGTGCTATCCTTGGAAATCATTTTGGCATAGAATATAAAATATCAACTTAAACTTTAATTACACTGTAGAACTTTACCCACAACAAAGTTGATCCAAAGTGCTTTAACAACAAAGAAACGGTGAAAACAAAATCTAACGAAGAAAATTAAAATAGAAAAGACAAAAATCAAGAGTGATGAGAGGGTTAAAAATATGATGTAGGCCTATACAATAGCACTAATAAGAACAATAATAATAAGAACAATGGCGATATAGGATTTTAGGAAAGGATTTAAAGTGAAGTTAGGGACAGTTCAAATATGAATCCACTCTGTGAGATTCGCGTGTTGCGTGTTGTTATAGGTTATAGTGGAGATGTTTTAGGGTTTAATTTGATTAAATCAAATATCTCTGTAACCTCAAGGATTATCGCTGAAACAGACAATTGTATTTACAAAATATTTCCAAAAAATGGTAAGATGGGTTTCTTTGTCAAACAGACATTTATTTTATTAGTGAAAAACTTAAACATAACTGACTTATTCAATTGATCTGTTTAAAGCGTGTGAACCAGGCAAGTCTTTTAAAATCTATTTATTAGCAGTCTTATCATGTGAGCAGTTGCGGCAGTAATCCAATAGATGGCAGTATAAATCCATACATTGCCTTTGTCCTGCTGCAGTCGTTGCTCTTTTCATCCGTCGACACTTTCTGAAATTAAACATTAGCTCCTGTTTCAGGCATCACCAGAGAAATGGAGATCCACTGTGTTGGTTGAATAAAATATATAAAAACAATAATGTTAATAAAAACTGTAACTGTGTCAACACATTTTTGTTGCGAATGACTTTTCAGAGAAGGAGAACAAGCAGCTGGTTAAACTGCTCATAGAGACACCCGTTTAAGATAAACCACGTAGAACATTATTAAGAACTTATGTTTGGTGTTAAAATAAAATTATCTTAAGATACAAAAATACAACAATCACAAAAATCACATTTTACTCAACATGCTGCATTTATTTTCAATTTAGACGCAAATAAAGCACAAAAAACATTTTCCATTCTCAGTCTGGGTCTGCTTCCCCGATTTCTTTTAAAGTAGACTATTGTGTCCTTTGTCGGATTCATGTTTCAAAGCTTTAGAGGTCATCTATATTCAGCTTTACGTACATAAAGAAAGAAAACAAACGTGCCTGAATTACACGTGGGTATTTCGTTGTTTCTAGTTTTAACCAAACGTGAGCTAAATTAATTGAATAGTAAACAAAGAGTCTTAGAATTCATTTTAACTTATCAATTATAGTAGAACTACTGAAGGTAAAAAAAAAAAACGAGCCTATAGAAAGTTTAAAAAATAATCTGTCAATAATGTGTCCTAGCTGAGGCCAGTGTTCTAATTGTATCTGTTTTTTAAGGATGTATTACTCAAAGCTTGCATTGTTTATCTAAGTGAGCATGGTTACGTTCCACATTAACATTAGAGAACAGCTTTGGCCTGCTGAACACATGAGGCCTACTGCTTGTCTTCGGAGTGATCAAGTTTGTATTGGGAAATAACAGACCTGCGTTTCGTTGTGTAAAGACAGACAGGTTAAATCCGTATGTCGCAATGTCGGAAGGGCTCCTGTGATGACAAAAATCAGAGCAGTTTTAGTGTTGTCTTTTAGTGCCGTTTACAGCTCTGCGTCCTTCAGGTTTAGGGTGTGAAGAGCCAAACTGAGGAGCTGATGTCTGGAAGGTTTCCTTTGAAGGAAGCTCTCCGCCGTCTATTGTCCTTGGTCATAAACTTGCTGCTTCCCTCGTTCAAGTTCCCTGACTGAGAAATGTTGCCCGGAATCCTCCAAGTGTTGAAAAATGTACTCTGTCCGGAGACGGCTGGTAGTAAAACTGAATATTATGTAATCGATATATAATGTGGGTTTAGGCTACATATTTACATTTTCTTCATTTACAATAGTAAACAGTTTTTACAAAGGAACAGTATGAGATTATATTTTTTTGACCTGTGTCCATTTGGTTCTTCAGTGGGCATTAAATCCCTCATTTCCTCAAAGTATTGGACCGTATCCAAATTGCCCCTTCAGAAGAACAATATTGTGAAGGCTATATTCAGCTATTTCTCAGACATGGACTCTAGTCTGAGTTCAGTTTGACAACATTTCAAAACTTTTTTTTCGGACCAAGGAAGAAATGGGACTCGGAAATAGCATTTTGAAACTGAATTAACTATAAACATATCTGGTAGAACACGCGATATCTGGAGGATTAAAAGCCAGACATTTCAATACATTTATATTGTATATTGTGACATTTATAAATTAGAGATGGATCTGGACAGACTTTCAACAGAAAAAACAGGTAAAGCTTTGATTTTATCCACTCGATAATGTTGGTTAGATATAAAGTTAAAACCTTCTGATTATTAACCAGACGGAAACAACATAACTGGAGGTTGTATTGGCTAATCTTTTTAAGTAAATTTGACAGAAAGACGCTGAGAGACGTCATCACCATTCATGTTTTAGAAGTACCACAAAGTTAGATTTCACAATATTGTGCATGTTTTTTTTTTTTTTTAAATAGACTTACCAAATAAAATGTGTTTAAAAAACAAACAAACAAATGAGATAAAAATCAAAAAGGCCCTTATCTCAAATCAGTCGAGCATGATTTACATGATGATGAGTTACATTTAGTGCTAAAAGCAGGAAGAGTTTCAGCCGCTACAGCAACAAATGAGAAAGTGATGTAGGCTATATGAAGCGTAAAAATAGGGTTAAAAAACTATCTCCAACATGTAGGCTATGTAAAAAAAAAGTGCACAGAATTAAGAAAAAATTAAAGGAACTATACGAGTTAAAACTCAACAGGTATCAGGTAAACATTACCCAAACAGGTAGCCATATGCATGAACTTTATGCCTGTGTTTATGAATTGT